TGGATATGACACTTGAGCGTTATACCAACCTTCCTCATTCTTTCTGGACTTGGCATCTGAACCCTTTGCCTTCTTGCTTCCTGCTCAAGTGTGAGCAACATGTTCTTTTCTTTCAACAGCACATACCTGGGAAACATGAGCATGTTACACACATCCTATAAATGGTAATATACAGTAGAGCAAACGCACGGACGGAGACAAAACGAAATTTCGATTCCACTGTATGTCTGGCATATTTGGAAATTGACAATAAAGTCGACTTTGACTTGATCAACTGGACATTGCCTACCAAAGTGAGTGTAGATCTTCATTGCTCTTTGTTCTCAGTTGTTTGGCGGTCCATGGGGCACCTACGGAATTATGACAAGCCAGAAAAGTGTAAAACGTTGCCTTCATACATGGTCCAATTTTTTTATGAAAGGTGCTGCAATAACATACAGAGAATATGTCAGTGTTTTACCTGACTTCACCGTTTCCTCTCCCCAGTTCTCAGGAAGGTCAAAGAACTCTTCAAGTCCCCTCCTGCTGATGGTGGTATGCAGCGCTCGACACAGAACCACAGAGCTGGAGGGACTGAATTGAGACAGGGCGACGAGTGGAGACTGTTTCCTGGAGAGTGCAAAAATATATTTCTGTAAAAGACTTAAAGTGATAACCTGGATAGGACTCTTCAGTTGACATCTTTTGTTTACATTCAAGCACAGACCAAGAAGCCTTTGAGAACTCCCTCATTACTTCAATGGCTACAAAAAATTAGTTTTAAAATAAAAAAAAATAAAGAGGTTTCATTCGCCAGCTGAGTTATGATTTTTTTTTTTTTTTTTTTACTAAGACAAATATTTACTAAATGCCACCAGACAAATTAAATATAGAGGATGTACCACTACCACCCAATAATTTAATTTTACCCAATAGACTTTTTTTTTTTTTTTAAACTTCAGAGAAATATTCACTGAAGCCAAACTTATATGCAGATTGTATAAATGATGCTACACTGAATTTCAGGCCTTGTATAAGTAAACAATAAGATAAAGCCATTATCAATAACAATTTCTGATTAATCTAAAATGTCCATAACTAGACTAATATCATTGGTTGTATCATTGATCTGTCAGTTCAGTATGGGAACCTCCTATCTAAGAAAAAACATCTACCATAACAATAACCGGCAGCACAATGAAGACCTTACTACGACAGAAAACATTATTTAAAAAAAACCCTTAGCTGAGCTCGATGAGTGTATTAGCTACGAACACGTGTTTTAATTATTATTACGTTCTAAGAACTACAGCAGCTTCTTACCTGTAAAGAGTGGCCTGGTATTTGCTGAAAGCAGCAGTACATTGCTTTGCATTTGTCGCAGAAGATATCCTACAGACATTTTGAAACTGCTTGCAAAGAGTCAAAAGGCGTCCTGCCGAAGAGGACGCCGCCATCTTTTCAGAAGTCCTTCCCACATTACCCGTCATGCACTTTTCTGTACCAATAATCATTATTTTTATTATGATTTTTATTTTTATTGGAATAGTTTCCATTTAAATTATATGTCTCGCTAAAAGCATAATGTAATTTGAATTTAAAAACAAACAAACAAAACAAAAATACATTCATGCCCTTATCAAATATGGCCATTTCCGCTTCACTCTTTCATGAGCCAATCAGAGATCGTGTTGTTGAATCGTCTTCCCTCAGTAGCGATGGTGGGGATGAGCGTTCTCAGGTCTGCTGCTGCATTTGCGGCCAGGCTGAGTCCTCTGAAATCTGGAAATAATGCGGCAAACTTACTCAGCCGAACGGTCACACGAACAGATACAGGTAAGGGACGACCCGGCCGGTGCGAGGTTGAAATGATTTGACGCCTAAGCTGCCCTCTCTCTGTTATGACCTTGCGCCGGACTTGTTAGCTAGCTAACTGGTAGCGTCTGTTCTGCTGTCAACAAAAGTACCAAAAGTAGGTTTGTTATTAAACTATTACAATTAGTTGGTCATTCAGCTATAATTTACATTTTTAAGCTGCCTTTATGTCATTACTAATTAGTATACGAATCAATTGATGATGATACGGCTTCAAATTATTTTAATAGAATTGAATTACACTATAAACGCTATATTGTTGTTGTTATTGTTGTTGTTATTATTATTATTATTATTATTATTATTATTAATAATATATATGTGAAATAAAATTAAAAATTAAAAAAAAATCTGTTAAATGTTTTATTCGTGTGATTTAAGCAGCTCAAATTCTTGGGAAATATTAAATGCAAATATAATAATAATAATAATAATAATAATAATACATTGATGTCGATAACGAGGAGATTAGTTTTCCTTCCCATATCTGTGTAAGTAACAGGAAAAACATTGGTGGTTCAATTATAAGTAATGTAGTTGCTGTAGTTTTTCTTTAAAAACAGTGAAACTCTAAAGCTGTTAACAATGACCTCTGACTGTGTGGAAATCAGTTGTTTGTTTTGCAACACAAATGATGAATGAAGCCATTTCAAAATGAGCCAAAGGTAAAACACAAAACTCCTGTGGCGATTAAAACACAATGTTAATATGACATTGTCAATCAGCCAAAACACACTAAATGCCATTATCCCATGGATTTGGCCCCAGTTTGTTCAGTCTTAAATCATATTCTAAATAATATGACAACTGTGCCTTATTTTTCAGTGGCTGTTCGCTGGGGTCATGGGAAGAAAATGTTTGTCATCAAACCCTCTAGCTACTATGACAGTAGATTTCTGCGCTTATTGGTAAGTACTATTAGCACTATTTTCTTCATTGCCTGTAAACATGAAAAATCAAGCAGTTGTTCAAGTTGAAGAAGAATATATAAAAACTAATTTTAAAGTGGCAACTACTTTTGCATAAAAGAAGAGCTAATTCTGACCTGCTGTAACCTCCAGCATTAATACCCTCACACGCAGAAAATCCCCTCGGAACTTTCCATCATCTTCATTTTCTGTTGTCTCATTTTTTCAGACCTTTTATACCCTGCTGACCGGCATTCCAATGGCTGTCATTATCACAAGTGTTAATGTCTTCATTGGTAAGTGAGATCCAAGTTTTGGTGATTTAGAGCTTCATTTGTTTTGTTAAGTAATGTTTGGTCATTTGACTGTTTTCACAAGTGAATCAACAAAAGTTACTTTGAGTCTAATTTGTGATGTGTCGTAAAGGTGAGGCACAGCTGGTTGAAACTCCAGAGGACTATGAACCTGAGCACTGGGAGTACTACAAGGTATATTGTTTTCATGTGACACTAATGTGTGATACAAAAACTCTTACAGCAAATGTGTATCTAATTGATTACTTGGTTCTTGTGTAAACACAGTGGTTGTTTATTTGGATTATATACAACCACTCATTAAAAAAAATGAACTCTTATATGTATTTTTCTTTTTTATTGCAGCATCCCATCACCAGGTGGATTGCACGGACTTTTTATGATTCCCCAGTGAAGGACTATGAAAAGATGCTTGCTGCAATCCAAATAGAGAAAGAAAAGGCAGACATGAGGTGAGTAATTCTGTGATATGGTGTAGCTCTTGTCATCCAATTCTGATGAGTTAAGATCAGAAAGCAGTTGTGATACGGGGGCACAAGGGCAATTCAAATTATTCTATACTATTGCAATATAGCTAGTAGGTTAATATGTCTGTGTGCTATCATTTCTTAAAGGCTTTATATGCGATTTTTCACACTTAAATGTAATAGAAATCAAGTATATCCTCTGAAAATAACTCTGTGAGTCATGTCTGTCTACATTGGGTGTAACACCCGAGTCCCACTGTCTGTGATGCTTTCCGAGTTTTCCGAGTCCTATCTTCAGTTTGTTTACATCGTTTGGACGGCCGGCTGACTCATCCCCTCACGTATAAAAGTTGTTTAATTGAGGGACTAGAGAAAAGAAGAATAACATACTGTACTCACTTTTTAACTGTGTTTCTAGACCACGGTCATTTCGCTAGCATTAGCATGCTAACACAACAATGCACCGCAAGTTGTTTTGGTTTCATGCTGGTGCTCAAGGGCGACATCTGCTGGATCAAAAAATCGCATATAAAGCCTTTAAAGCCTGAATACATCGTGCCAAATGCCAGTTGGTTAATTTAAAGGTTTGAGTTATTTGAACAAACACATATTTATGATAGGTAATGAGTCAGATTGCGTTGCCATTAAAAGATTTTATTGAATTGACTTATATCTGTGCTGTTATTCTCTAAGTGAATATCTGAACTACCTGAAGCATTCATGCAGCAGTGTGACATTTCTTTGTCAATACAACAGAGTTTGTTGTTTAAACTAGGGTTGTTGTTGGCATCCAATCTTTCACAAATCTAATCTTTTCTGATGGTCTTCAGGAGAAAATCTTGTCTACTAGATGGGCTGCCTGAGCCATTTTAGTCAGTCAGAATTACAGTTTGTATTGTACCTTCACAAAATTTGATTGAAAACTGAATGTCTTTAACCCTGGCCAGCTGAACAAAAAGCAGGATTGGCAAAGCTGTGTCATCGGTTATATTTTATTTTTTCTGACTTTTGGTCAACAGACTGAGTCAGCTGGAGGTGCGTCGACAGATGAGGCAGAAGGGAGATGGACCATGGTTCCAGACTGACACCCTCGACAAGGATTTAATTGACCACAGTCCCAAGTCCACTCCTGACAATTAAATTGGACGTGTCTGCCATCAGTACATCATGCTGATCAATCTAACTGTTTGTACATTTCCCCCCTTATTGCGTAAATAAAGTATATGTATATATACTGTCATACTTTGTCCTCCAGTGCCTTTTGTACCTCTTTCGCAGATTTAGGTCTCTGCTGTTTATGCAACATTGCTGGGCAGCCCGTGGGCTCAGTATGCAGCATGCTGCCTTACGAGATATTTCTGTGTAGCTATTTTATTTCTCTGGTGCTCCATCCTTCTCCCATAGTTCATTGTTAAACAGAATGCCTATCTGATAATTTACATGTGTGAGCCCTGTGCTGTCAACGTCAAAGTCAAAGTCAACTTTATTGTCAATTTCAAAATATGCCAGACACACAGTGGAATCGATATTTTGTTTGTCTCCGTCCCGCGGTGCAATACAACCAAAAATAAGGTAAAATAAGATAAGGTAAAATAGATAAATAAAATGAGATAAATAATATTTACAGTAATAAATTCTATGGCATTCTTGGCTGGCATTTGGAAGGATAGTCTTGATATCTTAAATAGGTGGCAATTCAATTGCCCGACTTGTACTGAATTACATTTAACTTTAAAAAAAAAAAAACATATCTGATATATTCATTTGTTTGTTTTGCCATGTATTTCAGAGCCTTCAGAGAAAGTGGCTGCTTTTTAATGAACTGCATTCATATAATGCTTATTCCCATCCCTTTTGCAAATTCAGTTTGGGGATGCTTCTACAATTCTCTGCATTCCTTACCCGATAATCAGATCACACTTTTTTTCATCTCTCCTTCTGAAACATAATATGTATAAGATATCTCTAACAACAGGACACACTGACGGGAGAAGTTTTTATGTGGATACTATTTTGCCAAGTCACATTTGTCGTTTTTGCAATTAAAGTGAGTGTCCAACAGGTGGCAGCACTGTGCAGACAATGATTGGTAAACAAAACAAAAGGGCGAGATGGTTGAGGAAATCACGTTTATATCTTTTTTTTTTCCTCCTAAAATGCTCGAAATTAGCCCTTTGCTTTCTCGTTTTGTTACGCATGACCGTCATTACTCATTATTTTAATGCTACAGACAAATAATAAATGTACAACAACTATATTTTAATCGACAAAGGCGACAGCAGATAACTATAGAGGAATGGCTTATATCGACGAA